TTGATTGATATAAATTGTTTGGCTGCATTAACTGAGCACGTGTATTCAAGCCTAATTTTTTGAATTATTTACATTATTAAGACACTGTCCCCATCATTTTGAACCAAATATTGTAGCAGAACTGTGCAAATTAAATTACGTTGTAAACAGTTCCCTGCCTACTGTTTGTTACACAATTATGCTCTAGATTGCAAAATACACTCTTGCCAGTGTACTACAAAAAAGAGAAGGAAGGAACAGTGAAGATGGGATCCAAAAGTCTGACATTTTTTTAGGCGAAGAAAGAGCTGAGGAGGAGGGTTTTTTTTTATTTTTTTAACAGCAGTATCTATCACTTTTACCTATTTTTTTCATCTTCAAGCCTATCTCTCAAAATTCTGGTGACAAATAAATGTCGCCATATACTGTGTCAATATTTTCCTTATCAGTTGTGCTGAAGAGCACGCAGACAAGCCATGCAGATGGTCTCATGCCCATCAGCATGCAGGATGTAGGTCCTGCTGCAAACTAGCATCTGACCCGAGCAAAAGTTTGTCTACCAAAGGAACTTCTGGTTCTTTCCAGAGCAAACTTTGATACAAACTGGCATTGTAATTAATTTGACAAACAGATGACCTCCTTCTAAGGTCTAAACAAGACATGAGGCAGTCTGCCACGATGGAAATAGCTGTATGAATTATAAAGAATGGTGTTTGTACTTGGATACTGAAATTTGGTATGGACTGGTAGAAGAGCTGGAATTTCAGCTGACTTAGAACTTCATTTGATTACAAATATTTTTTAATAACTGTCACTGAAATTCAAGGCAGGTGTCTGTTAAAATATATAAACACAAAACTCCTTTATTTTGCTGTAGTTCCAATTATAGCATTATATATTGCAATGATTATCCAGTTTGCTGCCAGTTGATGACTTATAACACAATTATCCATTGCCAAAAAAAAAATAGTAATTTTACAGTCCACTATGCAATAATGAAGTAACAGAAAAAGAAAGGTTAAATATCTAACAAACAAGCACTAAAGATGCAAAACATTAAAAAATAAAACAGAGTTACTATATTAAATATACAGCATAGCATAACAGATCCAAATAATAAAAAGCATTGGAAAAGAAAAACTTCTGTCTTAAGAGTCAGGAAAATTGAAAAATGTCATGTTAAACTCAATGCCAAGGTAAAGCATTGCAAAGCAGGCCCCCATCCACCCGTTTCACATATATACCAGAAGAAAAGAAGACCAAAGTTCAGCATAGTGAATAGAATGGGTAGAACAAGAAGTCTCATGTAAAGAAGACCCTACTGTACAAAACTTCTATACAATAGTTTGTCCAATATGTCAGAAATAACCTTTCTGGGAGAAGGTAAATAACCATACTGGCAATATTTTGCTATCAGACTAATCTTCCCTTGAGCCAGTACAATGTTTTGTATATCATTCCATCAAAAATGTCATTTTAAATCACCATCTGCAATTACATATAATTGCTTAATTAGAATAAGATGAAAAAAAAAAAAAGAAGAAATTATGCTGCATTTGAAAAAAAAAAAATTGTGAGTTTGGCTTTAAAGTAATTTTGCTTGCTGAAATTGTGCTGTTAAGCAAACAATGTTTATATGTTTGGAACTTTATATGGAACAAAAAGTGCCATGCTTAACATCCTCCAAAGAGGTGATATCCTACCATACAGAATGGACTGCTGATCAAGGCATCCAAGACCCTCTGCATGGAAATGAGGAGAGAGCAAGGGCAGGAGGGGCCATGAGCACACCCTAACATGAAGTCAGGACCACCAGGATACCAACACCTGATTCTAAAGTGTAGGCATAGTCTAATAATCAGCTCTTGTCAGCACAGGGGCCTACACCTTCACTTTAAAAAAAAAATAAATTGAAATAGTGATCTACACATTAAAACTGGTTTCTACAGCACTGTAGTGGACAACTGTTGGTCTCACTGAGGGTGATGATTCCCATAGTCCCCCTTTATTTCCCATAACGTTCATTAATTTTGGTCTACAAGAGGAGTTTTGTTGGAAGGTGAAGAAGGCAAGGAAAAGGTCTAACAGTCCTTCAAAGTAGAGCAGTCATGCTGGTGTTTCTTGACATACCCCATGTACATCGAGTTTGCTAAAAGCCAAGGCAGTACAGAATGCTTTCTCTCAGCCCAGGGGTAAGTTTATTTCTCTCTACTGATTCCCTCTGGAGAGTGCAGAGCACTGATGTGTAAGATCGAGTGATGTGACAAAGCATTTGGCAAATGGATAAGCACCACAGTGACTGAATTACTGGGAATTACATCCCAAACTTCCTGTCACTGATCAACACTTATAAAACATACTAGTATCTATCACTAAGCATTTTTCTTAAGACAACTCACCTCCATGCAAAAAATAATGATGGCCCACAATGACACACTCAAAGATCCCAAAGAAACACTAAAAGTGACCCAAAACCTTTTAAATCCTTCAATAGTGATACCTGCCTTTCTGCACAGAAGCAAAGTCTTCTCTCTCTTTTCTACCCAATACATAGTACTGGAATTGACAATGAGAAAAGAAATCTATTCAAATACTTCACACTGTATTTTCTATGCCTCCTCCGTACACCAGCTGAAATACCAAATTAATTTTCACAGTAGCATATTTTGTGACAACTGCAAATAAATGTTTCAGAGTTTTTTTCTCTCCTCAGATTAAATATTTTAAAGCAATCCTTTGTTTTATCAGCCAGGAAAGGGACATTTTTCTGATGCAAAACATTCTGAGGCAAAATCATGTCCTTTATCTGCTCTGAAACCCCTTTTTATGCAGAACCTCTGGTGTGCCTTTCCAGAATGGTCACCCAAAACACTTTGCAACTTCCATGCACTGGCTAAATGCACTTTCCAACTAGGGTTGATTAGAGTTTGGTTACTGTTTTCATAATTACATGGATATTTACCACTGAATGAATAGGAGTGGAGCAGTTACTGTGGTTCAAGGCTTTGAGGCATTCTGTGACAACACACTATTTCTGATGGTGTAATTTGTTCTTGAGTGGATGGAAAAATTTGAGAGATTCATAGTAGCCTCTCCGTTAACTTTCACAGCAGTGAAATTTATACTAATGACTGGGGAATGGGCAGTTTGGGGGGTTTCTTTATCTAGGTCATGTGCATCCTAAACGAGGGTTCTTCAGGATGGAGTTACCAAGGACACTTGCCTCTTGATTCTTGCCGTTGGCTGCTTTGTAGTATTCAGCATATTGTGAGCAGTTAAGAGTCTCCAAATTCCTTCTCTTAGTCTTGACTTTTTCTCCTTCTGTCTTGTTGGGCACAGAGTATCTCTTTTGGTTATCAGGTCTAAATGTAATTGTGTTTCCTTGCTGCTCTTCCCAAACACTACTTTTTTTTTGACACATAACACCTTCACCCCAACTTTATTTCCTTTTCTTTCCTGTGAAGTTTCTACACATTCTTTTCTCTTTGCTTTCTCTCTGAATTTGTATGATCCATTTTGACTTCCTTTGTAATTTTCAGTGAAATTATCTACTCTCTAAGCCCCTCCACTTTTTCCTCTGCTCTAGGAATCGACTTCCATTTAATAAGTATGTGTCCTGCGTGAGCTTCATGACTCTCTGGGAGCGCTGCATATACCACACTCTGGATTGCCTTAAAACCTTGGTAGCCAGTCTGTAAAGCTCCTGTTGTTCCTCCTTTCAGTAAGGTTATAATTTGTAAATGGAAGGACTTCTCTGCACTAAGCACACCTCATTTTACTGTCTCCGGTTCACTCTCAGATTCACTAATTCAGTTATTTATGCAATACACACTGCCTCTGAGGATCTGCTACAACTGCATCCGAAGTTTGGCCTGACTTTGTGCGTACTCAGGTTATTTCTCTTTTACAGGGTTGTTCTCTTCAAGGTACCTCTTGCTATCTAGATCAGATTAATGGACAAGCAATAAATAAGTCACTTATTCTGTAATGTTAGCAGTGGTAAAGTGTACAAGCTTCTCCACAGAAGTGTGTTAAACACCCACAGTGCAGCTCACAGCCTGTGGGAATGGGATATCACAAACTCTTTGAGAAGACCTCTGCAGGCATTTTGCCCAAATTTTATTAAAGCATTTCAATAGGCGTTTCAACACCCAGCACAAGAATTTGTACAATTAGGGTGAAATTAACCACTGGGAAGAGAGCCAGCATAAGACCTCTTCAATGCTCACATCCCAATTAAGTGCTCAGAGTCTAAACGATGACCAGGCCTTATCCTGGTATCCTATCCAGGGATTAATTAGATCCTCAAGTATTAAACTGTTTATCCAAGTGGATTTTTCATCCAAGTGCAAGGTATGGTATTTAAAACATTCATAGTACTGGACTGGGTTTAGGATTGGAATTGATTTCACTAGGCTTTATGTCTACATCTCGGCAAGTCATCTAGCCTCCCTTTTTTGTTAACAGAGAGAAAGAAGCCCATTCACGACATGAACTGTAAGCCCACCCAAATTTTATCCGATCAACTACACTGACGCTTGCTTTGACAAGCAGAAGAACAAGTCAAACATTACAGAGATGGAGGATTAGACGAAAAGATTGTTATGACTGAGAACGTGGCCACCATCTGCTTTCTCACTGATCCTTAATTTGAGTGTTGTTTCCTTTAAACTGTTTAGCTAAACGTTCTGGTCTAACTCCAAATAGTATTAAAACCAGAAGTTCAGCATGTTATCTGTTCTGTAAAATTTTTTAGCTGCTCTCTATATATATGTATATATATATTTTAAAAAAAAGGAAAAGAAAATGGTGAACACCTCTCCTGCATAGCCCTATTTGCTTTAGCACAGGTCTGGGGTTTTATGCAGCTATTCCACCGCTCCCACGGCTGCTTTGCACTATACCCCGCCAGTGCCACAGTAGCATTCATGTGCATGGCCCTTCGCACAGCAGCTGTCACAGAAAGCTGAGCACACAATCACTTCTTTCTGTTTGCTCCTGTTGTTGTCGTGATTTATTAGGTACAAAGGCAGGAGACTGGCCCCGCCCAAGTCGGAAATAGAGTGTTTCACCCCAAAAGGGAGTATGGGGAATGGTGGGAGAGCTACAATGACCAGGTAAGCAAACAGCAAGTGGCCTTAGGGCAGTGTGATATGTCTGTGAACAAGAGGAGCAGCCCTGGGACATTGCCAGGCCAGATCCTCTGTCTGTAATTCCTGTGCATCCCATATAGTATGTCTAGAAAAGAAAAAGAAAAAGAAAACACGTGCTGATTTCTATGTTCCATCTGATCGCCAAAAAAAATCTGCACCGTGTCCATTCGAGTGATCCTAACCACGTGTCCTGTGTGATGTTGTTGTAATATGGTGCTTTGGGGAGGAGAAACCTTACACCTGACTCATTAAGCCAGTAGAGCAGATTAAGAGAGATAGCATTCAAATTTGGAGTGAGCAGCTCCAAAACTCCTCTGGAATGGTGGTCCCACTACATATTAGAGGTTACATTAGGTCTAATCAAAAGAGCTTTTAAAAAGACCAGAGAAAACCTGATTGATGAAAACATTTTCCAATATGAAAATGTTGGTTCTTCTCAATCAAAATCCCTTGTGGGAAAGTACAGTTTTACAGTGGTTTTAAAGAAAGGTTTCAAGCTCATTTTAAATAGAGTTCAGAACATCTTTTTCATAACTTTCTCCTTTTAATTTAATTTATATATTAATTTTCAATTTTTTGGGGGCCATTATCTATTGCATGACATTATACACCAATATTACAATTTTAATGAATATCAAATACTGCATTTTTTCAGCATTACTGGGAAGAGCTGTTTCAATACGGCCATTTTCATGTTTTTGTATCAAAATACTTCAACCTCTTTAATTCTGTGAAACACTTGAAGATTTCAGCTATTCATCTCATTTTGAGTCCAGTCAGATTTCCGAATGTTGAACTCTCCCATAGGACAGAAAATCCATTTCTCCAGACATCTCCATTAATAAATGAATAAGCCACATGTGTCACAGATGGTTATAAATCTTTCATGAAACAATACCCTTAATAAGCATTGTATCATTGTGTTACATTCTACTACAAGTTAGAAGCATTTTGCTTACCATTTATTCAAAGACCTACTCATTCCTTATCAACCTCTGTAAGGTATTTATAAAGGTAACCTTAGAGCACAGTATGACCAAATTATACCTTTACTTTTCCCAAGTGTTACATCACAGGTGAATTTTAACATTGCAGGAGGGTGTTCAGTGAAACACTTGTACAGTGTTATGTACCCTTTGGGTACAACAATATTCACTCATGTATATAAGGCTATGGACTATAACGCCACGTAGCACACACCTGGGGGACTCCTGCTGTTTAAGTAACATCAGGAACATTCATCGCTGAGTGTTGTATGAAATGTATACACGTCTGTTATTATTTGTTAGCTGGGATCCCATTTCTTGTCTGCGTGTTGTCTGGATTATTTTTTTTTTCCTACATTGCATTGCCTTCAGTGATATTTATTCTTCATTTAAAAGCTATCTGGAGTCACTATATAAGAGAATTTTGAAGAGAAGAAAAGTACATGTAAATGTCAAACAACTGTATTTTGTTGTACAGTATTCAGCTGTTTTGCCTGGCCATATATACACACTTGAAAAACCTTCTTTTTTATATTTTATTTCTTCACAGTGAAGAATCTGTTTGCATTCCAGACTGTAATCGATCTGAGTCAAGTAGAGAGGAGAAAAAGGTTCCTGTTAAAGAGGATGCCCTAACAGTTAAAAAGACTGGAAACTGTGTCAGTCTAATAGTTCCACAGCAAGACTGTCAGCCGCGAGACCTACTCAAACAGTTAAGAACACCTGCTGCTTAACAGAGAGTGCAATTGCATTTGATGGCTGTGTTTTGTTGTCTCCAGCCACAGTGTCCTGGCCAGTGGTCCTTGTCAAATTTCATGAGCTAAGTAGAGCTGCCACTGAATAGCCCGGGAGCCTCCCAGAGAGAACGTAGATGTTGCAGAAAGGAAAGTAGGTGCCATTCTACTGTCTCAGTAAGTACCAGACCAGTGCTAGAAGTCACTGGGATGAAGTACAGATGGAAAAAAGACAGGTGCAGGGGTCTGACCATTTGGGAATAATGGAGAATCTCTTCATCTCACGGGACGAAGAGGTCCCATGATACCGACCAAATCACACCTAACGTCTTTTCGGTATAAAAGATGCTGTGCAATTTCATACTGGGCAGTATTGTTCAGCTCATTCTCAAATCCCTTGAGCAATATTATTTTTGTGTTTCAACCCTAGTGTGGATATTTTTCACATCAGGGTTTAACTATCTCCGTACATTAGTCTTACAAATGGTTTGGGGATTTTCAAGATGAAAAGTGACATAAAAATAGCCATAATGGGTACACTGTGTGATGCTTTGTAAAGCTATTTCTGATTAAGAGAAATCTGTGACCATCACCTGTGACCATCAATCACATATATCTGATAAAACCAATTATAGAATGGGATGTTTTAGGAGGCTTTCACAAAGCAGGCATCACAACATCTTTTTTTAATTTATTTTTATTTCTTGCATATTTGCATTTCTGATTTGATTAAATGCAATGGGTAAGAAAATGCTTAATAATTCACAAGAGTATTTTTTCTGCTGATAAGTCCCATGTGCATAAATATCTCTGTAGTTATTTATCAGCAATGCCAAACACCTGAAATTCCTCCAATTGTATGCTTTTTGCAGAGAATAGAATTAAAATCAAATCTTGACTCTGGAGATACAACTGGAAGAGTTAAATCTTTCTTTTTTTTTTTTTTTTTCCTTGAGCACTCCTTGTGCTCCTGATTTCAGGGTCAGGTAAGGTGATGGTTCCTATTTTTCCCAGTTTCCATTTCATACATTTAGCGAATTATCAATGAAAAAAATTGAAAAAACACTTTGACTGAGCAATGTTGAAAGCATCTTAAAGCTTTGTGCATCAGGAAGCAGAACTCACAGTTCAAAAGGTGGCATTGTCCACTCTCCATCCTGTGAATAGGATGCTCCAACGTAGCAGAGTTATGCTCAGGGATGCTTGAAGTGACATTTTTCAGACAAGAAGCAAAACCCAGCACTAGCTGCCTTAACTAACAACTGCAATGAGGCCGCAGTAATAGAGGAAAGAATTACATCTGGTATCAAAATCACTTTTGCATTTTGGGTCATGATAATAAGCGCCCTAGAAATGTTTAATTCAGATACCAGATACTCCATTTCCTGTTCTAACCAGGCATGCTGCTGAAAAAGCTGCCAGCATTAGTGTTGCCGGTGGCTGCTCTGGGAGGTCATTGGCAAAGTTCCTGTCCGTCAGCTCTCTCTCACTTCTAGGTTCTTTCATCCTTATACATTAAAGTCATTCATATAAATGTCAGCTGTGATTTTCATAAGGAAAGGAGGTATCAACAGATTACAGTTCATGGAGTAATATAAATAAATTCCCTTGCTTCTGTTAACAGAAAACAACTCTGCAATATAATTGCAAAATATGTTGTTTACTTCTAGAACTCAGGACAGGACAAAATGAATTTTTGCCCTGTATAATTCCTCTTTTGTGTTTCATTGTTATTTATCTCCATAGAACAAGCAACATGGGAATAATTTAAGCTAGATGATTTAAGTGATATACCACTAGCAGGCTGTTTGTGTGTGGCAGAATTGGCTTTCACCCAGGGAAACAATTATATAGGTATGTAGAGTTTCCCTTGAAAGCCATTTAAAAAGAAAGGAATAGCAACAACATAAACCATTACAGTAGTAGAACTGACCTGGTTTAGACACCTAGCATCCAGTTTTAGCCTGTCATCCAGGTTGTCCTACAGTCCCAGAAGAAACTATGACTTATTCATACAGGTACCCTGGAGTTTGCCACTTCAACTACTTATTTCTTTTCAGTGTTTTTAGCAAGTTGCAAGGCACTTACATTCTCCCAAGGATGAAGAACTTGGGTCATTGCAAGCAAAATGCATGTTCATCTAAGATTGGCTCAGTTGACAAGACTAGAGAGACAAAACAGTCACGTGCCCGTGCTTGCATGCATCACGGGCACACACAGATTGCCTCTTGTGAAGAGTCAGGTTTTAATTAAATCTGCAGATAGCATACAAATCCTTTTCAGGCAGAGTAATTATATCATTGAGTCTTTAATAAGGTTTCAGCAAGGGACTTTAAAAGGACGACAGCTTCTTACTGTTTATTTTGACAACGGGAGTTTTTCTTGGGAGAATGTTGTATGGACTAAGTTAAGTACAGAAGTTTATACTACTTACCATTGCCAGATCCTTCTCTGGATAAGACAGAAGGACTTCTCCCTTAAAGACAGGAGAAGGCTGTCCTTAAGAAACAGGCTGGGTCTACGCAGTGTTGGAGCAATAACTTAACTACATCAGCTTCTTAAGAACCAAGATATTGCTTCAAATTTGAATACAACACCCTATTTTAGCCATTGAAGCATCTAAGCATAACTTTGCTGCCAATTTTAGCTCAATAGAATTTAGATCAGTGCCCCGAAATATGAACTTTCATGCACGGACTTATAAATTAAAGAATTTGACATCATTCCTTATTATATTAATGTGCAGAGAGGTCACAAACCAATAATACACGTCTCCATCAAGTTATCGTCCAGTATTTGTTTTCAGTTGTATCATTTCAAATATGGAATCAGATACTGATATTGATACATAATAGAGAACGAAAATGCTCCTAAATTTTTGTATTAATCTCTATTGATTCCCCTTATATTCTACTTTCCACTGGTGAATAATACTATGTAGCTATTCATTCTAAGCTTTCTTAGAAAATAATAAATTCCATCATTTAAAACTGTTTTTCCTATTTCATTTAAAGATACTATCAAGAGAATAAGTAACTCATTGTCAAATTATATATGCTTTCAGTAATTGTCCCGATGCTAGTCCCTAGGCACACATCATCAGAATTAGTTTTAGCAGCTTCAGGTAATTAATGAGAATGGTACCCTTGCTAGAATATGAGAGTTTTCAGCTGCAGTGACTGACAATGCCTCTTCCCATTTTTCATTTCTTCTACATTTTGAAGGACCACACAAAACACATTTGCTTTAACAGCGTCTGGCTAAAGAAACCCTGGTGGCAGAGCTACGCACCATCTCATAGATAATCATACCACAGAGCAAGAAATGCTGAAATAAAACTTCTGCTACCTCACCAAAAAAAACAAAGGACCACGTGATCTGTTCTATACAGTAAAAAACCCCATGTGTAAGGGGAAGGGAACAATTTTCTTAGCACCTAAGTAGATAAAAAGCAGTTAATATTCTTTATGAATAAAAGCCCTAAAGACAAAACTTAAGTGCCTCTAAAAAGATTAAGGGAAGAAAATAAGAAACAATACTAATTGCTATTCTGTCAGCAAATGGACAACTGTAGAGGAAATATTTAAAATATCAGAGACTTCAAAAGCTCTCTTGTTTATGCCACTTTCATTTCTTATACATATTATATCATGGTAGGTCTAGCAGCTTGGGAAAAAGCCTAGCTATCAAACTCAAAGCAGCTTTTAGTAAAGAGACTGGAGAAACAATTAGTATGACTGGTTCTGAGGAAATACGTCTCATATATAAAACTGAACATAATTAACCTATAGTGAAAGAAAAGAAAAAATGTGCTATGCAGAAGGTTTTGTTTCATCCAAACAAATAATTATTTTGCTAACATTTTGGTTTGGAAATTATGTCACTCACTGACTGGAGTTTTCTTTTCTCTGAATATGACCTGTACTCCTTTCTGCTCTTCTCGGTACAATGTGCCAGCAGAAAAGCAGAGTGTGGTAGGAAAATGTGTGTTCAGCCAAACTTAGCAGTGGAACTCCTTTGGGAGCTCACAAGTGTAATTCTGCTGTTCTCACATGAGGGAGACAAAATCTCTTGCAAGAAAACTCTAAAATTTCATGGTCCTAAAGTTTACCATCATCAAAGGGTCACAGAAGAGCTGGACCTAATAAATGTAAACAATTGCATTAGTAGACATCATAGTCTATGTCTCTGATCTATCTTTGTTTCTCTATTTCTAAATTGCGCGCATTGTGGTGGTTTCCAGTTAACTTGACAGAGTAGCAATAAGCAGTTAGACCAGAACTGTAAACCTAGATTTATACCAATATATGAAAACAAGCAGTGTTCCTTTCACAGAGGTGATAAATGATTGCACACCTCAATCCAATGTTTACTTTGTAGTAAGTAGGTGCAGCATGATAAAATGGATGATACTTTTCTGAGATAACAATTCCAATTATTGCTGGGCTTTTAACTATAGGGTTCATTCCTTACTGATAAATTGCTGCTTTCTTCCTATTCAGTTTTTTATATCAAGGAATTTGCAATGAATAATGGTCAAGTCTTTCAGGCTTTTGCACAAATTTTACATCAAACAGACACTGGGTCTCCTTTAGACCTCTAGGATCTCTGTGAGAGCCACGCGTACAGCTTGATTACTCTTGGGCACAAGGCAAAGGCAGTAAAGGAGTGCATCAGCCAAGACTGACCCAAAACCAAACTGGGATTGAGGGGTTCTGGTGACAGCTGCCACATTCAAGATTTAACTGTCAGCTGCCCTTGCCCTGGGCTGGACACAACCCCGGATTTCATCCTTTTCCTTTCCCCAGTCATCCTGAACAGTGACCAGGGACAGAGAAACATGTTCTTTTCACAACCTCTTACAATCTGACCTTCACTCAGATGAAAATGTCTACATGCATTTAGTGCTCATGTACACATTTAAAGCCGTAGGGTTTGAACATCTGTACTAAGCCAGTGCTTGAAGTCAGGAGGGATGCTAGACTATACCTCTTTCTTTGGGCAAGCATTTCTATTTGCATTGGTTAATCCTTCATGTTAATGGCATTTTTTTTACCTCTGTGGCAGGCAGGTCTGTCACAGATCCCTCTGAGCTCTGAACTCAGCAGGAGTTGAGAGACCCCACCAGGGAGGACATCCAGGACTGCAGCTAGGCCCTCTCTTCCTGCCAGATCAAAGTTACAAGTGCCGGGTCACCCAGCCTCCTGGTCCAGCTCAAACTCAGCAGGAGCTGGGAGGATATCTCATGGTCATCATACCAGAACTAGAGTCAAGATGTCACCTGCCAAAGGATCCAAATCCTGCTCCTGCTGCTGGCACCGAGCTCCCACCGAGCTCAGGACTCAGCATGACCAAGGAGCCAGGGCCCTCAAACAGCTCTCCACACCCACCGAGTACATCTTCCAGTGAGAGGAGCAGGCAGTCCTCAGAGGCAACAGTTTTCCTGTGAGGACATTCATGCTGGATGTTCATGCCAGCTCCTGTTTGTTGCGACGGGGGAAGACGTGGACATTCAATATGAGCAAGCTTCGTTTATTGAAGAGCACAGCTGTCTTTTATAATAGTCTAAAACATATTCCATATATACCCTACTATAATTAGCTACTACATGTTTCATATATATTCTGCTATAATTAGTTATATGTGTTCCACAACACAGCATTCTGATTGGTTCATCACTCCAGCCCTTAGCTCCTTATCTGCGTCTGGTTACCTCTTCTTCTCCCATGCAGCTACTCCCTCTTTTCCCATGCCTGAGCAATCACAGGCTTCTCATTACCGTGTAGCACCTGCAGTCAGGGTTAGGGTGTCCTCGCCAATTTAGCAATCACACGAGCTGAGTCCGATGTTTCTCAAGCTCCTACTCGGCCAGCTGGATCATATCTATGTTACCCTTCTCAACTAGCCAATTTCCCACACCTGTTCAGATCAGGGTCGTATCCACAGAGATGCAAAGAGTCAAAGTGATCAGTGCTACAGGTTAGTTTTGACTTTTCCTGCTTGCTTTGATTGAGGTACAGCAAAAGGAAGGGATTATCTGAACAGCAAGCTGGCATTTTGGGGGTAGGTGCATAACAGTTAACTTCCAAGATCCAGACAACATCCTGGTGACCACTGCAGCAAAGGGGTGAGCCCTTATATACTCATGCAGATCATGTCCCAGTCTAGCCTTTATTAAAATACCCACTGGTTTACATTGTGTTTGTCTACTGGATTTTGTCATGCTACTTTTGAAGGGGAAAGCTGTTGGCATATATCGTGTTACATGATCCATCGTAATTCCATGTAATGTATTCATGGATGTGAACCTACAAGAAAGTTTTGTTTACTCTCAGCACACAACTGTTTTTTTAGATGACTGGAAAAGCTATGAAATTGATAGTGCATGGCAAGCCTCCACATGAAGGCTGGTATAAAGTCATCTGTGTTTAGTAAACTATGTCTTGCAAAATGTTACACTGCAGGCTAACATGTGTGAGTATATCTATTTCAGGCTTAAAAAGCAAACAAACAAGCAACAAATTTGTGATACTCTGCCAGGGTCTCCAATGTGGTTGTCTTTCCAAAAATCCTAAATAGCTGTAGTAAATGTTTTGGAAACCAAAGTAAATCGTGTAAAGTTCTGTTGCATTGTATATATAAATTGTGCTTATTTTTATGTGGAGACTGTGTTTTTTCCTGTTGACGTCATTTCAGAATCATCGTCTGTTTCAGTTAAGAAATATTTCTAATGGTCTTTCTTAATCCCAAGAACTATAGGTTAATGGATGTATAAACACCAGCTCATCAGCCTAAGGAAGATGCAAAAGGAGATGAGTGGTTTCATACCACATGTTTATAAATGCCCTGGCTGCCTTTCCTTAGGTAGCAAGAGGAGAAAAATAAGCAACTTTGATAAAGAGCAGGGAGTGACGGGATCTGAAGAGAAATTACCCTAAGAGGACTCATTTTGTAGGAGAGTGGAGCAAAATGTTTATTGCTGTCTCCAAACGCTGGTCACCATGAGGAGCTGCTTGTATAGCTTGTCCATGATTTCTTTCCTACTAGGAATATAGTTTTATTCTCTGACCTGACCTGCAATTAATAAAATTAAGTTCTTTAAGCTAGTGGTGGCTAATTTACCAAGTACTCTGATCATTACCCATTAGAAGCGCTTCTCCACGCACAACCAGAATAGCCAATTTCCAAGTACTGGCATAGAAGCAGATTTTTTTCCCAGCCATAAAGGACTATGCTCCTCCATCTTCCAGTCTACGCTCCCTGCCCCATACCAGGAATCCATGGCCATCACCCTACACCAACCGCCTTACTGTTGAATGCTCCCAGGCCAACCTACACACCTGCGGCCCGCAACCCGGCCAGTTCAGGTCTCCCATTTATTCCCTTCAATCATGTACCTCTTCCTCACTCCTCAGTCCCACAGCCGCCCTTCCTGACAGTGATCCAACAGAAGGGAAACAATCAAGCTGCTCCCATCCTCAAGAGGGACACTGCCTATGTCCCGAGGGCAGCAACAGAGGGGTCAGCAGTGGCCATGAACTAGCACGGAGTAGGTCACAGCTGGGTGCACAAATGGCCTGTGAAATGAGCTGGCACACTCTGCTTGTTTGCCTAGAACATACCTATATTAATCGCAGATATAGTTATATCACAATAGAAATAGATGTAGATATAGATGATATAGATATAGATATAGATATAGATATGTAGACAGTCAGTTTTATGATGAATATAAGCTCTGAGGTACAACATACCCCTGGTATAGGTACAGTGATTACGTTTTTAACTTTGATGCAGGTTACCATTTTATCCTATTTCTGTTCACAGCTCTAATGGGAAATCCGTTTCCTGGGCCCAGAATGAGAAAAGCAGCAGAGGAGCACACCTTTGGCAGCGGTTGTCAATCCACATCAACAAAAAAGAGAACCCCAATCAAACGGCAGTGATCAAGCCTTTTTCTAAAAGCACAGATAGTAGCCGACATAGTAGCAGCGCTACATTTCCTGAGGCCAGTGCCAAAACACTTTACGATGTTTCGGAAGCAGAAGAGCAATACCCAGCTCAGTACCGACCGCAGACTCCCTCGCCTATCAGCACGTTGAGCCACAGAACTGCCTCCGTTAGCCGAACAGAAGATGATGCCCCTACCTTCCAGTCAGAGCCTCCTCAGAGAAGTAGCTCCTCTCAAGGCTCCCTCATGGAGCAGATCAGTAGCGTGGTTACTCGCTTTACAGCCAATATCAGCGAGCTGAACTCTATGATGCTTTCAACAGCCACTCCAGGGACAATGGTGGCCACCCCTCTCTGCTCTTCGTACCTGATTCCACGGGAAATCCAGCTCCCTACGACGATGACCACATTTGCAGAGATCCAACCGCTTCCTGCCATTGAAGTCAATGGCGCTTCGCAGTCAGCTAGGAAACCTTCAAATGGCAGCATCAAAGAAGGCACTTCAGAGACCCCATCAACCAAGCAAGACCTTGAGGAGTTGGTAGCTTTAACTCCTCCTTCTCCTTTTAGAGACTCCATCGATTCTGGAAGTGCATCTCCCAGCTCTCCGGTTTCTGAATCAGCTCTCTGTATCCCGTCGTCCCCAAAGTATGATACGCTCCTTATCAGAGATTATGCTCAAAGTTCTTCTTCGCTGTGAATGTAGTTCAAGACAACGTTGGATCTCAACGACTACAAGCAAGTAGTGAGGGGACAGCCAAGCCTTCAAGATCTCCAGTGTTTATGCAGATAAGAGCGAGAGGCGTTGGGTCATCTTGTGAGAAATGGAGAGGAAGAAGAGGAATTACTTGAGAAGTGGCAACATCAGATTAATTATGCTGTTTTAAAGACAAAAAGACTCTTGGCAGATTATCGTGGCCTTAAAAAAAACATGGGCTTTTCAGAAACACTGAATCTATTTTTGAGGGCTTATAAGGAGTCTGTTAAATCAGTTACATACCAAGTGCTTTGCTTTAGTATTACAATGAACCGTGTGTACAATATACGGGGCGGGGGGAAACTAGATTGTAAACAACTGTACAATGGTTTGTTTGTTTACTCTGATTCCTTACCCAGAAGTGAACCTTGATCTTTTATCAAGAATAGAAGACCAAACATTGAATGTACATTTTCTAACAGACTCAAATCTGGGACCAACCTGTCAAGCTTTCTTTCTTTTTTTTTTCTATGAAGATCTCAAAAAGCAGTAATGTATGTTCAATAACTACCAAACTTTTTGCTGAAGCATATTGTGTCCGTGATGCGTTACACGTGGATAACACTAAGCTGAGGCTTTGCAGTGAGTGACTGCAATATAGAGGGCTTTACAAGTGACTTCTCAACCTACACATTTGTTTATGAAATTCTCTTCTATCGGTATCAAAAATTCGATTTGTTAACATTGGATTCACCTTCACAGCAACAAAACCCAAGGAAGATTTCCTGACTATTTCACCATGTTGCCAACTAATAATGAAGTAGCAAAAAATATTTTCTGGAGTACTGTTTTGTAATTCCCTTATCAGGGCACATTGTTGAGGTGAATATTCTCTTTCTAGCAGCACTACCAAGCTATATTATAGCTGCACTCCCTACTGAAATTAATACATTTTTATGGACGTTCTTATGATAACATTACCCGTTAAAATATTTATTCGGGCTCCCACAGTCTTTGCTTGTAAGGAACAGGTAAACACCCTAAGGATTTTCTCCATACTTTGAATGACAGAATTCTAGGAGACAATCTGGATTATGATGAATGCTAACTGTCAGCGGAAAGATTGTCATAA